GTGGTTTGATATTTTGAAGTAGAGTGTGGACACAAATTTGAAGCATCACAATGATTATGAAACCATTTGAAATATCACAATGATTGTGAAATCATTGTGGTACTTCAAATAGATACTCAGACACATCAGGAAAATAGTATTGAATTTGGGGGACAAGTTTTCTTAAGCAAACAAAATTACAGACTTAGAAATTGGAAATATATTTTGTCACCCTATCCTTCTCTTTATCACAGCAAGATTGTTCTTTATGACACACTTCTACAGCATTCTGAAGCTCAGTTGTAGAAATGCATTTTATGGGGGGATATCTGCAAGAAAGTCCCCATCCACCTCTCAGTTGCACAGGATGCTCTTAGGAATGCAATCATCACCTACTTGAACGTGTGTGGAGACTAAAGAGAGGAATCTATGGCTGAATCACATTATTCAGGGTCCTTTCCAACCCTAACTATTCTATGATTCTATGATTCTCACTATCTGAGCACTGCTTGGAATGGGAGGAATGAACTACAAACCCCAGGTCCCACTCAGTAACTCCAAGCATGGATAGATTTGATTATATAGGATAAAAACATATGGCTCCTACATATGTTGTGCTATATCAGAGATGTTCACTCTTGCTAGCACGTGAGTATCCTCAGATGAAAGGCTTCAAAAGTGTGATAGTTCTTATATATAAGCAAATCAGATGTTTAGTACTCCATGTCTAGATTCTGATGGATCCCCAGACATCCTGTTTCCAAATTTTCTGAATTTTTAAATTATTTATCAGAAGTAAACTATAAAGCTCCAGGCAGATATATGTAAGTTTCTGGCCATGCTGATGTAGGAGTAACAACTGTATTGGGTTCTGTTGGACCTGCTGGACAAGTCTAGCAGCTGAAGATTTATTTAGACCCCTTTCACCAGAGAGCTACCTCTCATGACTCCTGCTCCCACTGGCAGCCTCCAAGACTCCAGGTTCCTCCCCTGGCAATGAAGGGTTGGGTTTTTTTCCAGCAACTAACTTACACCACAAATGCATAGAATCATAGAATTGTTTGGGTTGTAAGGGACCTTAAAATCATGTAGTTTCAAATCCCCTGACATGGGCAGGGACACCTTCCACTAGACCAGGTTTCTCAAAGCTGCATGCAACCTGGCCTGGAACACTGCTAGGTCTAGGGCAGCCAGTTCCTCTGGGCACCTGTGCCAGGACCTCAACACCCTCACAGGGAAGAACTTCTTCCTTATATCTCATCTAAATCTCCCTTCTTTCAGTTTAAAGCCAACCCCTCTTTTCCTGTCACCACATGACTTGTAAAACGTCCATCTCCTGATTTCTTGTAGACTTCAGGTATTGGAAGACTATTATGAGATCACCCCTGACCCTTCTCCAGGGTGCCAACTCTCTTCAGCTTGTTCTCATATAGAAGGTACTCCATACGTGCAGAACAGTGACAAGCTGTGCTCAGATAAATGTTGTCTTCCCATCTGCAACTTTACATGAGCATCCCATTCATCTGGATGATATAACATGTTCCAGAAGACATAGCTGGAGGTTTGCTTGATGACATTCTACACCTAAGGTAATCTGAGCTTTATCCTTCTGTGAACAAAAGCTGTAGTTACCATCACACTCAGTAATTGCAGCATTTTTTGTTGTTATCTGCTTTCTGCTGGCTTTGGAAGGGCTCCATTTCACCACATACCAGTGTCTGGTCATTTCTCACAGAGGTCTAACACCAAGATCCTATACAGTTTCATATAAACATATGGGTTTCCGAATGACAAGAGGTGAGATGCTTTTTCTTATGGAGTTAGGGCAAATAGCTATTTAAACTGAAATCAGACTTCATGTGCTCCAATAGATGAGAGAACTAAGAGAAAGGTATAGCCTTTTTAATGCAAAACTTTTCCCCACAAGCAAAAACATTAAATCAGCTCAATCAAAGTAATAAAGAAACACAGCAGCTGGTCTAGCAGTACTTAATCCACTGTTGTTCCTTTGATATCACAAGTATCATTATACTTAGCAGTATGCTGCCATTACAGAAATTTTCTTGAAAATGCACAGCACTGTCACCAGTTGCCTAATGTATTATGGTCTCTTAAATCACACTTGGGCTAACCGAGCCGGAAGATCAAACATTAAGAAATAAAACATAAACATTTTTAGCTGATCCACAGGTATCAGGAAAATTGCTAGCAGACTAAAGGCAAGGGAGTGGTTTATCACACCCTGCTAAGGCCTAGGTGACAAAAGGGTGCCCTAATGCCCAAGGAGGGTGAGGAAACTTGAAAGCAGAAGGTCTTCTTCTATGTTGAGCATAGTTGATCTCGAGTAAAACCTAAACAGATTGGTAATCTGGATGTACAAGAGATTTTGCAGAACTAAAGTAAGGAAGTTCTTTATGCTTATTGCAAATTTTAAGACTATTTTGGCAGTACTAGGATTCTTATGTGAAATATATTCTTTCTCTTGTCTGTTTTAAGTAAAAAAATACAAGTATATCTGAAGTGCTTCTGCCACCATCTGTATTGTCACAAGAAAAATGCTATTTGTTAAAACAAACAAATAAAATACTATAAAAGCTTTAACTAAAGTGTAAGCCCTTACGGTGTATTTAATAATGCTTGGGTGGCATGTCTTCTCAGAGATATGCTGGATGGTGTCAGAAAACATTAGGTTCTTCCCAAGGGAAAGAATGCACATGTGCTTTTTATCAATCTTGCCTTTATCAGTAAATTGTGCAGCAAGAGCTTCTATCCAAAATAACAAGGGACTTCGACTGTTGGGTTTTAACCAATATCTGAGCTAGGTATGTTGCTGTCTGTGATTTTTTGCTGCTTCTGTCACCTTCTCTGCAGTGCTAGATTAATCATGCAGGTGACCTTGCTGGATTTTATTAGGCATAGCAGGCTGTATGAGCTATTGCTGGAAAAGTGTGACATTGCTCAACTAGTGGGGTCCTGTATCTATTTCTTCTAATGCGTTTTTTACTGCCACTTCTAAGGACAGGCTATATTTCTGCTGTCATGCAGAGTTTCTTCTGCTGACTATAAATTAAAAATAATTATGCTGTTAGAAGGAAAGTACAGCATAGTAAAGTGTTCTGTAACTGCTTATAATCAAAAGAGCTGGGGGCTTTTTAATCCATGCCTCTGTTAGTTTTCAAATGCTGGTTTGCCTCAACTTTTCATGAGAACTATGATGCTGAGCATAAGAGGCATAGTAATCTGGGTAACTTCCATCACAGACATTGAGTGAATGCATACATCAAACTGCAATTCAAAAATAAGGATATTGTAAAAATCCAGTCAAGTCTGAAATGGCACTGCATGACTTCAGGATAGCTATGTACAACTGCATGATTCTGGAGAATGGGCAGGAGGTCATTTGGAAACTCCAGACTCCTTGATCTCATCCCCTAAATTTGCCATACCTAGAGTCAGTGAGCCTTTCTAATTTACAGTTTAAATTCCTCCATGTCTGCGGGCAAGAGAAATTATTTATTAGGAAAAAGTCTTTACTGTGAGGGTGGTGAGGCTCTGGAACAGGTTTCCCAGAGAAGCTGTGGATGGCCTCAATCCTGTAAGTGTTCGAGGCCAGGCTGGATGGAGGTTTGAGCAACCTGGTACAGTAAGAGGTGTTCCTGCCCATGGCAGGGAGGTTGGAACTAAATGAACTTTAGAGTCCCAACTCAAACCATTCCATGATTCTATGAGGAGTATGACATCTGGGAAGGTAAGGCTACCTCCATGACATGGATCTGGCTTTTCATGCTGAGGTTGCATCTTGCATAATTAAGAACGCATTGTCTCACAAAACTCTGTTCCCAAACTTATTTTGGGAAGCATAACTGAATTCTGTTCCTGAAACACCTGAGAAGTTCCCAAATGCTGGATTTAGGCTGTTCAGAGGTGTAGCGACCTGTGGTGACTGCTCCTTGTGCTAGACCAGTTCCTGACAGGCTCAGGAACTGAAAGCAAGAATCTATGTCTTGGGAGTGGATATCATTGGGATATAGTAACAGGAAACACTGCTCTAATGTTGGAGACAAGAGGAAGAACTGCTTTTCTAGTTGCATTGATACATGGAATTAATCTTGAAAGCTTACTTCAATGTGCAAAGCATGACACAAATAAGAGATGGGGCAGCAAAGCTGTGGTCCAATACCCATCATTTGGTGGGTTTCTTTGAGCATTGGACCTTGTTTGCTGATGGATGGTGTGGCCATGCTGGAGGCTGCTGAGACCTGTCCACCCATCCCTGCCATTCAACCAGCTCCAGAGATGACAGCATCTGCCAGCTAGGTGCATCAGGCATGCTGCTGTGAGGAAGTGGAAGAAGGACTACATAACTCTAGCTGGGAGGAGGATTAAGTGCCAGTCTGCTTTCCCTTGAGTAAGACATGAACAGTCTAGTCATTAAATGTTTAACTTTGTGACCCTGCTGTACTTCTTGAATGTGACAGCTGATTATAGGATCAGAATAACTGAAAAAGGAGATTCAGAAGAAATGAAACCATGTCCCTTTAACAAGCATGCAGAAAGCTATTTTCAGGTTAGGCAGAGAAAACACTTTGAAATCGAGGTTAATTAGCATTTTCAAAGGACATCTGAAAACCCAAGACTGTTGGGCAATGTGGGGTTGTCAGTGTGGCCTGACAGCCTGCTTACAGCTTCAAAGGCACCTCTGGACAGATGGTACTGATGAACAGCAACACAGACTGTGCCTACTCGTGGAAGTTACAGCACCGAACAACTTTAAATTATTCTGTGGATGCTTCAGACAATGTTGGTTATTATCTTGGAGGGCAGCACCATATAGATAAACTGGCATTGCCTGTGATCCTGACTAGCAGATTTTAACTTTGAAATCAAAAGCCTTTAGTGTATACTGCTGGGAAAGAAAGGATGCAGATCTCCTTGACAGGAGGGTGGGATGGGATAAGAAGGCAGGATGCTGACTCCCTGCCTGGACATCACCCTAGCTAACCGGGACCTTAACCCCTCAGAGACGTTCCCAGCTCTCCCGTAGGACCTGAACTGTGGCTGGACTGCCCTCCAGCGCAGACAGGTATCGCCTTTCCCCGGCAGGCGTGGGGAGGACCGGAGGGAAGGCCTGGAAAGTCCGGCTTCATTCTGGGCAGGGGAAGGTCAGAAAGGTGCATCCTGCGCAGGGGACCCTCACGGAGACAAGGAGCCAACGCACCCGCGGGTGCCGGCCGCGTCCCCTTCCCCTCCCCTCTCCGCGGGGCGGGTTTGGGCCCCGCTGCAGCCTCCCCCCGCGCTCGCCGGTAGGCGGCACCGCCACCTCCTTCCTCCTCCTCCTCCTCTCCTCCTCCTCACCTTCGCCGGGCGCTGGGTGACCCACATCGCGGCGGCAGCGCCGCACCCGCCCGGCGAGAAGGGGTGGCCCGCGACGGCGGCGGGGCTGCGCTGTGCCGTACCGCGAGGATGTAACGGCGCGGAGCGGTGAGTGCGCGGCGGCGGCAGCGTTGGGCCCTGTCCGCGGCCCCGTGGGTCGCCGAGCGACGGGAGGCGGCTGTGGGCATCGCGGCGCAGCCCCCCTGCCCCTCCTCCCGGCGGTGGGAGCGAAGTTTGCCCCTTTGAACGCGGGGCTGTGCCGGGGACGACCTTATGGCGTGAGGAGACTGGGGGGCGCTGGGTGGTTTGTGCCGTTGGGGAGTTTGTTGGTCTGTGGGCTTAACGCCCCATCCTCTGTAACCGGGCAGGGCCGACGGGCGGGCGCTGGGTTCTGCGGCTCCGCAGCGGGGGGCACCGGCTCTGATGGTCTCGCCCTGCTGCCTCTGGGAGCTGTCCTGAGGGCTGAGGACCTCGGTTACACCGACGTGTGGGCATGATAGCGATGTTTTGAGTTTGGGTTTGGGGTTTTTTTTCCACGGCAGTCTCCTCTTCTCTGCCTCCCCTTCATCCCCCTGCACGGTCATTGTGTGTTGAAGTTGCACTTGCTCCTGAGTTAACTCTGGGATTGATGTCTGTGGTCTTTATGTTTCTCTTTGTCCTCACCGTTTCTGCTTTTATTACCATTTCTATGAAAATGGCTAAAAAGAGAGTAGATAAATTGTTGGAGGCGGGGGTGAGAGGGGAGAGGAGAAGGGAGGAGACTGGACAGATCGGCGATGGGGATGACAACACCTTTGTCCCAATTCAGTCAACAGTCAAATCACAAGAAGATGAGTTTTTTCGTGACAAAGGCGTTTGAAACAAAGGAGCCATTTTAGAAACGGAAAATATTATTTTTTAGCTTGCATGCTGTAGTAAATACAGGTTTTCACTGTGTGTGTCGACACCCTCCATTCCCCCCATCCTAATCAATCCTAAAATGAAGTAAATAGAAGAAATGGCATCTCTTAAACCCTGCATCATTCCCATGCACTACAGCAAGCGCATTGGTTGCCTTCTGTTCCAAACATTTCATTGTGCATTTTAAAAGAACGTTATTTTGTACTGGTAGATCTGTGAATAGTTGAAGCAGTTGAATGTGCTTGTGATAAGAAAGAACATCTCGTCTCCCTAAGATGAGAATAACAAAAGACCTGTCATGTGCAGTAATTTGGTAGGTGTTGCATACTGATGTTTATTTAGCAAAGTGCAGGTCAGAGCACACTTGCTGATAGGAGAGCCTGCTTTTCTCTGACTATCTTAGAAGATGTGGACTGCTGCATTTCCAAACCAAACAGGTGGAGTTACATCTAGAAATATCTTTTGACTTGTTTAATTCTCATATATCACTTTAAGCAGTATTTCCACTGAAACAAAGCGAAGCCACACTGCTGTAGCAATTGACTTCTCACCAAGCTGAATAGATGCTCAGAGGCAGGAAGCCTATGATTTTCAGGAGTGAAATCATGTGACAGCATCAGATCATGAATGTATCAATCACAGAAACTCAGCAGAAAATACTTCCAGGAAAAGGACTAAGCAATAGAAAATTATCTAACAGAATGCGTCTGTTCACTGTTCGTGCTGCTTCACTGATCTACAGTAAAACATGTTCTGTTAGTGTAAAAGCCTGCTGGGGATAAGCATGTAAACAAGGTGTCTACAAATCTTTTGCCTGCTCAGCTCTTGAGACAGGGTTTTATTAGCCATGGGACAGCATCATATTAGCTGCACTGATGCTTGTGGATCCAAGAATTTCCTCTGATCAAACAGATCTGTCATTCTTGCCAAGGAATTACAGCCCCTTGAGCTAAGCTATACTTAAGCAGAGAAACTTCAGGGCTATGTTGTATTAGGGGGTTATTTTGTCATCTGTCATCTCCCCTGCACCAACAGAGTCTTGCTGCTGCTTGCAGTGATGGAAGCAGAGAAAATGCTGTTGTATAAATGCTAGTTTGTCAAGACTGCTGCTAGTATTTAAGTGTTCCTGTATTTTAAAGCTGTCTGGAGAGCTTGTACTTACAGCTAAACTGTGATCAGCTGTAACCAATGTTTACAAAAATGTTGGTTAGCTATACAGACAGGGCACAAGTACTATTCAGAGCCAGGCAAGCTTTCTTTTTCCCAAGGGGTCATTTGAAGTGTTAGCAGAAAATTGCAATAAGAACAAGCCTGAGTTGCCTGGAGATCAAATCTTGTTGGATAAAATGCCCTCTGGCTCATGAGACTCTATTTTTTAATTTATTTTTTTATGAACATCTGCTCAGCCTTCTTGGTTGAAAAGCTTGTTTTATTTGACATTCCTCTGAACTCTTTTGCTTGGTGATGTAGTCCAAATGTTACCCTCCTTGAATGAAAGCTTTGGGAAGGAAGCAAAAAGAGTAAACCCCAGGGTAGGGTTTGCTGAAATATTAGGAAGGAAGCCAAGTGGTGAGATTCCAGTCAGGAAGCAAGGATAAAGTAAGACATCATAAAATGAAAAAATTAGACTGATATAGAGGGACATGGAGAATGATTGTGGTAGTGCAGGGCAGAGGTTCAGGCTTAGCATCCTCAGCATCAACATAACATGATCTAAGCTCAGCCAATAACTGAGCTCGCCTGCTGAGCCGTGCCGCACCACAGGACTTGCCAAGCCTGAGTCTGGGGTGGAAACACTGCTTGTGCTTGTTCATACCAGGTGGTGGAGAGAGTAATCTGACAGCAGAGGCTGCAGCGCAGCCTCTCAAGTCTCTTTTCAGTGGTACGTGGCACTGCTGAGCACTCCTTTTCAGGGCAGAGCAAGCATTTTAGTGATGAGCTGACCTGTCTGACTGCCTTGAAACAGATTATGGGTATGTTTACACTTGTGATTTGGCTTCTGTCCAGTCTGAGTATCAGACACATGTTCTGGAGACCTTCTCCAGTGCTTTGTGCTGGTTCAGGTCTCAGAGCAGCGTCACTGAAAGACACCTGAACTCTCCCAATGAAACTAAGCCAGGAGTCCTGCTGTGGGAGCACTCCCAGTCAATTACTGAGTCTTGCATGAAAGAGACTGATTTCTTAAAAGTACCTCTCAGCTGTAATTGAGTGAACGGTTCTCATCCACTTAAGCATGAAACCAGTGAAGAGTCCCACATCAAGTTTGTTATCTTCAAACACTTCTGGCAGTTCATTCTGGAGTGCTACATCCCACTCCCCTGAAAAAATCATAGAATCATAGAATAGTTAGGGCTTGAAAGAACCTTAAGATCATCAAGTTCCAACCCCCCTGCCATGGGGAGGAACACCTCACACTAAACCATGTCAACCAAGACTGTCCTGCCTGGCCTTGAGCACTGCCAGGGATGGAGCATTTACAACTTCCTTGAACAACCCCTTTCAGTGCCTCACCACCCTCACAGTAAACTTCTTCCTTATAACCAACCTAAATTTCCCCTGTGTAAGTTTGAACCTGTTACACCTTGTCCTATCACTACAGTCCCTAATGAAGAGTCCCTCCCGAGCATCCCTATAGCCCCCCTTCAGATACTGGAAGGCTGCTATGAGGTCTCCACGCAGCCTTCTCTTCTCCAGGCTGAACAGCCCCAACTTTCTCAGTCTGTCTTTTACAGCTGATAGACCCTTCAAGAAGATATTTTCTAGTACTTATAGGAGGATTAGTACCTGAGTGGAACCAAGTGGTTGGGCATGGTTTTTTTAGCATGTCCTAATCTGCAGATCCTCGGACTGAGCACTGCATTTTGGTTCAGCCAGCTACAGTCACAGATGGACAAGGGAGCCTGGAGAATAGGAGAAATACAGGACATGCAAAGACTGAATTTGAAAACAGTCGGCAGACTGAGCAGGTGAAATTACAACTTGTTAGAGCAGATTTAGGAGGTACAGGATACTGTAGTCTTCATGACTGCGTCTATAGGAAACCATGTGTACTTGTGAGCTCCCCTCTCTGGTGCTACTGTACCTAGAATTACTTCACAGCATTTTTAGGCTTAATACAGATGTCTACACTAAGTTTTAGCTGAGGCAGACTGTGTTTTTGAAGCAAATGTCACAGTTGTCCCTGCCTTTTTGTTCTTCACCTCACTTTGTCTTGGAGCACCTGAGAATAAATGAGAAGAACTGTTTTGGGGGCACATTAACTGCAACTTAACATTGCTAATGCTGCAGTCACTGCAGCATCTGTATTGGGTGTTTTGTTTAAAAACAAACAGACTTTCTTTTTCACCATCTATGTGGTTTCCCCCCCCCCCCCCCCCGCCCTTATATATTTAAAACCAAAAATCCCTACCTTTCATTGTCCTCCAGGATGCTTTGGGTATTGAGACTTTTCCCATGGTGTGGCAACCATTTGTTACTGCAGTGATAATACTTGCACGATCAGTGGGCATACAGATGGTAAGAATTAGGCACCTTAGTACAAAGCTGTCCTGTGGTCATGGAAACTGTAGTCCTCCTCCATAGCTCTGGTAGGCAGTTATAAGAGCAAATCTCTTATTCTCTCTCCCACTCTGCTTTCACAAAGCCACATCCATATCAACATTGGCTTGGATGCGATCAAACAGGTTGTGCCTCTGAAACACTAAGATCAATGTGGGGTTTGTTAAATTTGGGCTTGCTAGGCCTTCACTGTCAGTGTTAAGGCAGCCTGTGGAGAACAGATGGATTGAAGGAGGAAAAGAGGAGTTCTTGCTGAACCATTTGAGGAAGGGAGAGAAGTGATGAAGGGAGACGAGTGATGATGCTCCCAGAAGAAGATACTGAAGAAGGGGCATACCCTGGGCACAGATTAAGAAAAGGCCATGCAGTCTCCTCCAGCCTTTTGGTGTGGGACAACAACATCTCCAAGAATCTAAGATAATCATGTTCTTTGAACATTGTTTGTCCTGACCACCTACAGTACAAATGTTTTGGGTTAAGGCTTGTTTTTATACAGCATCTTTGCTGTCTTTAGGCTCCTATATGCAAACAAGATTGAGGTTTCACTGTAAAAAGGAAAAAATGTTTTGGTGGGTTTTTTTTATACCATAGGCTGTTTTAGCTAGAGTGGCTTTTCTTGCTACCCCCACATCATCCTTATTTATCATGTTGTAGGGGTTATTTGAAATTTGGGGGCATATTTTTCCAGAGGGGAAGTTGAGTGATGCAGCATGAGCAAGGGAGTGCTTTTGCTCCTGTGCATCTTGAACATCTAGTTAACATCATAAGCAAACCAAACAATTCAGGACTAGATCTAAAGCTTGAAAGATATGATTGTGGTCACCATTCAGTATAAAAACCAACCACAAACAACAACAGAAAAACCCTACTGAAAACAACAAACCCACTGAATCTGGAGAAAATCTGAGTGTGCACATGGTAACCTGTATGATATGGCACTATCTCAAGGATGAGATCAGGTCATGCTAACGAATTATGGTTGTATCTGCTGCAAGTGTTCTAGCAGCTTGTTTTATTTAGTTTCTTTTAAAAGTTTTTCTAACTCTTAACATTTATAGTCCTATCCTTTATCTCATTAAAAAATGAATGCCCCACTATTCTAAGTAGAAAGAGATGTTGAAGGAAGGAGACTTTCACTGTTGCATTGTGTTAAGAATAAGTGTGTTACAGCAATGCTGTCAATCATTCTGTCCTAGTTTGTATTCTTGCTCTGCTTTGCTCTTCTTCCCTCTTGGAAATGGTGTTACAGAAACAGTTTCTAATGGTCTTCATGTCTCTTTCTCTTCTCTTCCCACGTTGTCTTCTCCTCTCTCTCCACTTTTCTGCTATCAAATCTTTGCCAGCATCCTTTTCTGTCTGAGACTAGGTACCAAAAAGAAAGCAAATGCCCACTAGGATTGAGCAAGAAATGGCAGAGCGGAGGAGAGCACAGTGGCACTGCACGTTTCCCTTGCCACTGGCTTTTTTCCTATTTGGTTGAAAAAAAGGCAGTTTGTGCAATAACTACATAAGGATGGTTCCTGGGCAATGTCTGAAAGTGTGTTTCATAAGTCTTGCTCGCCAGCTGGGGTAACTTTATTGACCTTCAAACCATTCTTTTAATCTTTGTTTTGCAGCTTTTCATTATGTTTTCCTTTTGCTTTGTCATGTTAGAGGGGTGTTTGTGTTGCTCCTTGCTATGAATGTCTCTGTATCAAACTCCATCCTAGCTTGCTTTCTCCACTATTTATGGAGCATTGCTCCATACACAGTGCTGCCTATAGTTATCTTAAGCTAATTTAAGCTAAGAAGAGTGAAGTGAGTCTTAATACAGTTTTACAGTTGTTCACAACCCATTTTAATGGAAACTAAAATTTGGTAAGATACTTGGGACTCTTCCAAGCTGAAGACTGAAAGCTGCTGGTACATAGGCCTGTCTGAGCAACGGATTTGGGCTGCATCAAAAGGAGTGTTGGGCTGCATCAAAAGGAGTGTGACCAGCAGGTCCAAGGAGGTGATCCTGCCCCTTTATTCTGCTCTCGTGAGAACTCACTTGGAGTATTGTGTGCAGTTCTGGTGTCCTCAACATAAAAAGGACATGGAACTGTTGGAACAAGTCCAGAGGAGGGCCACAAGGATGATCAGGGGACTGGAGCACCTCCCATACGAAGATAGGCTGAGAAAGTTGGGGCTGTTCATCCTGGAGAAGAGAAGGCTGCGTGGAGACCTCACTGCAGCCTTCCAGTATCTGAAGGGGGCCTATAGGGATGCTGGGGAGGGACTCTTTATTAGGGACTGTAGTGATAGGACAAGGAGTAATGGGTTAAAACTAAAACAGTGGAAGTTTAGATTGGATATAAGGAGGAAATTCTTTCCTGTGAGGGTAGTGAGGCACTGGAATAGGTTGCCCAAGGAGTTTGTGAATGCTCCACTCCTGGCAGTGTTCAAGGCCAGGTTGGACAAGGCCTTGGGTGATATGGTTTAGTGTGAGGTGTCCCTGCCCATGGCAGGGGGGTTGGAACTTGATGATCTTAAGGTCCTTTCCAACCCTAACTATTCTATGATTCTATTCTATGATTCTAAGGTCCCCTAAAGTGATTTTTATTTTTGACTGTGTTACCATTCAGAATTTTACACTGAAGAAGGTCATAAAACAACCAAAGCATGGAGTTTTCAGTATTTACTGCAAAAACTTAAGAAAACTTTTCGGTTTCCACAGGAAAACAGACTATTTCTTCCAGTTTTCCTCACCCCAGACATTGGTAAAATTCAAGCAGTCTACTCTGAGCATGTTGTTCTGGGCAGCAAGCACATAACCAGAACTTCCAGCAAGGTCATGTACTTGGAGCTGTCCTGATTTGCTGCCTCTTGGGTTGCAGAACATCTCACTGAGCAGCAAATTGAAGATTAAATACTAGGCCACAAAGTTTGCAAAAAACCTGCCATGGGATTTTTAGTCCTCTTGTCTGCAGATTAAATAAAATGTTTCATTTATTGTGGTCCCTCTGTAGGTCGCAGGACTGTAGGCAGCAGAGAGCTGGTGCATAACACTTGTTATAGGATGCTCACAGTTTCACAGACGTGATGCTTCATCTAACATCATCCAACAACATCAGAGATCATTATTCTTGACTCCTGGCTTAGGGAACAGCGTGTCTGTAACATTACAGTAGCACATGAAGAAACTCTCATGTACCCTACTCTTGCATGTCTGTCTTGGATATAAAGTTGCTGCTTGCATGCCAAAGTAATCTGGATGCAGTGATGGGGAAACTGGGCACCACAGCAGTTTTCTGTTAGATGAGTATGAATTGTGTCTGATCTTCACCAATTTTCTGGGTAAATAAATTTCTTTATGCTTCTCTAGCCTGCAAGCTTTGTCTGGCCTTTCTCCTGACATGTCTACTGTCCTTGTCTTTTTGTTTGACAGTTAACAAAATAAATATGGAAGTCCTTATTTCTACATGCTTTCTGGCTGATGCCTGGTATGTGGTTGTATTGGTTTGATGGCTGAATTAACTGCGTGGTCCAAACAAACATAACGGCTTTTAGAAAGGTAGAGCAAAGGACAGAGCAAGCATCTCTGGTGTCATTTTATTGACACTGCAGATATACATGTGATCCATTGATAGAATTATGCTTCTTCCCCGCAAATTGCTACGCGTTAGGAATGGGTAGGGCTCTAAAGCAATCTAGACTTAATTTTGGTGGCGACTACTTCATCTTTGCCTTTTACCTTCTGCACTCCTCTCACCTAGGCAATGAGGTGTAAACTAAGAAGAGAATGGGAAAGAGCATGAGTCACCCACTTTTAGAAATAGTCACTTCGGGTTTTTTCCAGGAAGCTTCTGCAGTAATTATTCTGGGGGCTAATCAGGCAGCCTCTTTGGATTTTACTCATCCAGTCTTGTAGGATTTATTCTAAACTTGAAGGAATGTTGCTACAAAGTGTGATGTTTTATGCAGAACAGATTTTCTTGCAGTGCAAGTTGTTGTATGGTGTGTCTGAAAACAGAGCAAGTAGGCCAGAAACATTGCACTGAAAACCATGTAGGCACACATGAGCCACCCAGATGCTGCTGCTGTTCTTCTGGGTGAACTATTCAGTGGTCAAGTGAGAAGTGGCTCTTCTGAAGTGGCTAAAAATTATGCCTCTTTATAATGCATGCAGAGGTGGGGAGGGAGTTGCTATGGGTTGAAGGCTCTTTTCAAGCACAAGTCTTTGGTTTAGGTGATATATCATCTATTTGGGCCTCTTCTGGATAAAATACACTTTCCTCAATAAGCAGAGTAAACTTGTTAAGGATGGAAATGTTATAGACCGAGACAACACTTGGATGCTTTAATTCCTTTTGAAGTTAAGCATCTGCTTACATTTCTAGAGGCTTACAGTACTTTGGGGTGTGGAAAGCTTCCTCTGCTTTTTAAT